GTCGTCGTCGTCGACGTCGTCGTCGTAGTAGTAGTAGTAGTAGTAGTTTTTTTGGCTCCCGCGTGGCAGTAGTAGTAGTAGCAGCAGCAGCAGCAGCAGTAGCACAGGCAGTAGCAGTAGTAGCAGTAGCAATAGTCGTAGCAGCAGCAGCAGCAGCAACAGCAGGAGCAACAACAGCAGCAGCATCAGCAGCAGCAGCAGCATCAGCAGCAGCAGCAGCAGCAGGAGGAGGAGGAGTAGTAGTAGTACTACTACTACTACTTCTTCTTCTACTTCTTCTGCTGCTGGGAGCAGTAGCAGTAGCAGCAGCAACAGTTGCAGTAGCAGGAGCAGCATAAGCAGCGAAGTAACGGCAGTAGCTGCAGTGGCAGCTGTAGCAGTAGCGACAGCCGTAGCCCTAGCAGAAGCAGAAGGAAAAGGAGGAGGAGGAGGAGGAGCTGTTGCGGCAGTACTTGTAGGAGGTGTTATTAAAACGTGCTGTTGACCCTAGTCCTTGGAGCAACGCAAACAGCACAAGACGAAGGTCCGTACCATTGGCCAGACTTTCCCCAACAGATCCAACAAACACAAGGAACGGCCCTCACCACAGGCCAGAACGACGGCGATACTTCTGACAGATGCAATCATGAAATCTACAGTCTGCAGATCTCCAGCTGCTTCCTGGTCACGGAAGGTACGGACCAAGCGGATGAGGCGCATAGCACGGAGTACCATGACCTATAGCGGTCAAGCTGAACAGCATGGCCTAGCCTTGTCGAGGGGTTGGCCACAGCTACACCCTAATTACAACATGACTTACGTACCTTTTGGAATCTGGACCTCAGTATTTTGGCATGCAAGATGAGAGAGCAGGCGCAAATTGGATGGCAAAGTGGACTCTGGCAAAAAAGCGACCATTGCAATGACGTTCCGCACACCGCGAAGAAGAAGTAAACCGACATACCCATTCACCCGTCGAGATCTGTGCCGCTTGTGTATGCTCAACGTTTTTGACAGAAACTACTGTTTGCATACTGCATAGCTTTCCAAGTTCTAAACCCGGGCCAACGACGGCCGAAAACACCGGGACCCAACTTCCACGCACCAAGACCTAGCCAAGGATCAATCAAAAGTTAAATCCTCCCACCGAATGTGGGCGAGCCAAGAATCAATTTTCAATCCCGACACCTGCCATCCAAACGTGCCAAGCCCGGAATGCTAAGCAAACCGGAAAGGCCCCGTGAGAAGACGCCCCAAGGTTCAGTTCGCATGCCAAGACTGATGTGATAGTTTCACTGCTCGCTCGTTGGTTTAGAGTACTATCCATAGCGGTACGTCAGGGTTGAGTCGTTAGAGGATTGGGGTAGTGGGATTCTGGGCTTGACCTGCGCCATTTACTGCAGATTGCTTACGTCAATCTTGGCTCGAGCCCCTTCGGCTGCTTTGGCCCAAAGTCAAATTTAAAACCCTATAAACCCCAAATGAAATCTACTTACAAGAAGGTGCCTGCTGGTCCGAGACGTCATAAACGAGCGCGTATATCTGCTCGACATATGCGCTGATCCTTGGATCGAATTGTACCGCAGGGGCCGCAGTAAAGAAAATAGTGTTTCGTAATATGGTCTATGGGTTTTGCAAGAGGCTCATGAAAATCGCCTCACTGATCAGAATAGGTTTTGCGGTATGTTACAGTATGTTTAAACGCAGTTGTATGAGCAATATAAATAAAAGGATTTTGCTACCGAATATTCATTTCTAAACTCATTGGGGTCCTGTGTCCTTGGCGCTGAAAAACTCAGAGTCACAAAACAACGAGAAGAATAAGTAGCACGATGCCGCACCCAGGACGACTCTTCGAGTTGAGCTTTCTGTTGTTGGGTGAACTTAAGTCTTAATTAGCCCCATTTCAGCCTAGCTAAAGGTTGCAAAGCGAGAGCTCATCCTACATTGCAGCCTCCACTTCTCACGAGAAGGAACTCGGAACCCTGAGTTTCCAGAGAGACACACGAGTATAACGTCGAAGATGAACCAGCCGTCGCGAAGTACGCCCCACCTGCAGGAAGAAGATAGAGGCATGCTTTGCAGGACCTCGGATACGGATGGAAAAATACTGTTTGGGTACTGCCCGGAGATTTGAACGTGATCCACCCCGAATCTGTGTGTACACCACCCCGCTTCTCGCCATCCTCCGAAATGGCTTGATCCCAACCACTCTGAAAAGACTCAACCACTACAGCCCCAGACTACTTTTGCAACAACTCCAGCTTGCCCCGTCCATCCCTCCAAATCCCTAAACCCTAAACCCTAAGTTTCTCTTCGATCCCATCAAGTTTCCCCCTTTGACAAGATAACTTTGATGTTATCGCACGAGGGAAAGGACACAGCTGAGGACACAGCACAGACATGACGTGGCGAGAAATTCACTCCCGGACCCGTTGTGAATACAGAACACCGTTGTGAGACACGGAACAAGGCAAAAACCACAAGTCCGTGGCTCGTTTTGTTCGTTCCATGCCCAGGGCCCAGGGTGGTTTGCACCAGGGGTAGGTCCGGGATCTCCGTGCCCTGTCCTCCACTCTTGTTCACCTTTGTTAGGGGGCCCCTGGAAGAATCGGCTCAAGAGCACACCTTGGTTGCGCCCGGAAAAAGTCCTTCGCTTCGGCGACCAACATGCCACCGCGCTTTCCACAAAGCATGGAATGCCGGGAGCAGAGTATGGTGTGGCGGATGTCGAATGGCCGAAGCCGTAGATACTCGCAGTGGGACAAGGCCTTGTAGTTCTGCGCCTCTTCGGTTCACGACTCGGCCGGCAAGAACTTGCCGTCCTCGGCCATTTCGAAGTCGACGCGGGCGCACTTCGTCAAGGTTCGGTGATGTTGACGCTTTTGGTCGCCGCGAACGGTGGAGGCACCGCTACGGCGAAAGGGAACACGACCGCACCGGTCACGGCTCCGGAGACGAGGCCCGCCATAAGGCTGACAAAGCCCGGGCCGATTGTCTCTGCGGTCGCTGAGCCAGCGATGATACCGCCGGCAGTTCCGTAGGCTCCTGCAGCAACCAAGCCGGCGAACACACCTGCGACGAGACCGCCGGCGGCATCTGCAGGGGCAATGAGGGCCATCTTGAGTTTGTCCTTGTCGTCGATCTTTCGCACGCGAAACAGCGATGGTCCTCAGCCGATCTGCTACCAGCTCTTCCGGCGACGGCTCGCTCAGCACGTAAAGGCTGAAGCATTGGTAGGAGTTTTGGTTTGCAGGTGCCTGATCGGTGAGCATCGTGTCGGACCAGCTTCATCGATTCCTGAATAGGAGGCGTAGTATCCCTCAGCCACACCATCCTTGATGCCTTCCAAGACTTGCGCATAAGTTTCGGAGTCAACCCAGCTCTTCTGGAATTCGAGAGCTCGTGGGTGGTCGTTGACACTCCGCGGTGTCGGGGATAGACTGATTCCGTGTGCTGGCGCTGGCGCTGGGGCTGGCGCTGGCGCTGTGTGTTCCCGTGGGGAATGGCGCTGGCGGGCGTTGGCATTGACGTTAGGCTGGTGCTGCATGCGCGGGGGATCGAGGGCTCTCTGGCGCCGGTTCTGGCGCTGTGCTTGCACTGCGGCCATTGGCGATGGCGCTGCGTGCGTTGGCGCTGGTGCTGGTGCTGGGCTGAACTCAACGGGATCGCTGATGTGTAAGAAGATGCATAAACAAACAGTAGAAGACACGACATCCAATATCGCACAGTACAACAACAGACCGGGAGACTTCCTGCCCGTAACAGTTTCAGTTGCACAATGCGTGGTCCCCCCACTACCCAGACCCACCGAGGCTAAAAACAAAATATGTATATATGTATGTGTATATATGTATATGTATATGTATATATATATATATGTTTATTTATTTCTTTACTTCTATCTTTTTATTTATATTTATTTTTTTAGATTTATCTAATTTATTTCTCTATCTATGTATCTTAGAGGCATACAAAGGCCGTAAGGCCCAGGGAATCCCGTCTGCCTCTCCGCGATGGCCCTCAAGATGCACTCTATGGTGTAGACGACGATGAAGCATGCCTCTGCCTCACCATCAGGTTCAAAGCTCAAAGCCTACTTTACGGTTTAAAGGCTTCTCAAAAAGGGGTCTAAGCTGCGGGGTTTGGGGTTTAGAATCTAACGTTTAGGGTTTGGGCATCGGCTTTGTTCGGGACCCGTTGCGGCATACAGTGTCCGAGCTTGCCACATGGACCGTCACGCGCAGCCGCTGACAGAGAGCTTCGTACGGAAGCAAAGAAACAGATGACACAGCAGCACAGGATTATATAGCCCACATCGTACATAAAGCAAGATAAGATGGTGCGCTCGATGCCAAAGGCGCTCGCACATCCAGGCAGTCCACAGGCCGCTGTGCCCTTGTGCCCCGACTGTTTCAACATAGTCGAGCTGAATATTTAATAGTCTGCAGAGCTAGCACACGGTCAAAACCTGCACTCTGTGGCGCAGATTGTTCATTTGTGCGTGCATGTCATGCACTGCAGAAGCCCCTAAACCTTTCAACAAGCAACCCCTTGCCCCATCCAGCCCAAACTAGTGTAGGCCCGAAACTCACGCAGCCCTGGAAGAGCTTGCAAGGGTTGGTACATCCACAACGATGCCACAGAATCACATCATCAACAAAAACCATGGAAACTTGAAAGAGCATGGAAGAGCGTTGGACTAGCCTGTAGACAGAGAGAGCTAAATTACATTCCCTGAACGACTACGGAAGCTGACGCCGGGCACTGCTGCACTACTGCTTGTTCGAAAAAGCTCGTTTGGAGGTGCCTTGGTTCGGTACACCCAGCCTGGCTCGCCCAGTCCAGGTTCTGGTTTGCCATGGACATCTGGCTCTCGACGCCCAACATCGCCTGAGTCTGGGTCTTTTGGGACCTCCAATCCAACCATCTGGCTTTGAGGGCGGGGTAGGAGCATGGACCTTGATGAAGTTAGGGTCGTAGCTCGAGGCTGTCGGTTCGGTCAGTAATTTGCTTAAGCTTCTATATTGACACTCTGACTTCGGCGGTCTTTCTGGATGGTGTTCAAGGGTGAATTGAAGTGATTCGACAAAAGGCAACAGGATGTGTTCAGATTTGGTGCCTTTTCTACAACCCTCAACTCTGCACTCTGGATCCTTGTCCCGTCAATTCTTGTCAAAGCATGCCACATCATACCGGCAAGGCCTGACCGTTTATGCTCTCGCAACTGGGACACAGCCAAACCACCGTTTGGGGTCTTGGGTATCCACACGAACCCAGCCCTAACGATGAGCGGCGGAATTCGCCACAATCACCAGGGAGATGATGCACTCGAAATAGTAGCTCTTCGTCACCCTGCCAACGCTGCTTCAAGTCATACCTCGAAACCTTGAGCTCACAACCGCAACAGCCCGCGACAGCGAGGCTCCAAACTCTAAACCCGTCTTGCATCAGACTTCGCATTCAAACTGGACAACGCTACGGACTCTGCAGCTGGAAGGCTTCGAGCTTACGTACAGTTTAGCGTGTCGGGGTCCTTAACGGAATTTCAGAAAATCGAAGCCCCCCAAAAACAAATACATAGTTGAATTTGTACCACGCAAGGTGCTCCCAATAGCAAGAAGCCCCAGTCATCGCGAGACGTGCCCCCCGGGCCTCTTGCACAGCGCGGTCAAGAAGGGCCAAAAACCCTTTTCAATCGGCGGTAAGGCCTTGAATGTGAGGGTCGGCCTCGCATGTGAGTCACTTGGGTCAATTCTCGCGGTGGAATTTTACGGTTGAAAGGAGTTTTACCGCCTTGAGCGGGTTTGGGGAAGTTCAGGATCCGGGCTTCACGGTTTTGGGGTTCAGAATTCAAGGACGAGCAACTGTTTATTGCGGGCAACCAGAATCGGCATCCTATCCTGATACAGATTTCTACTTTCTGCACGCGTCCCTGGATAGGCTTACGAAACAAATCTAGAACCCAAAAACGTAAACACCTAAGGCCCATACGCCAGAAAACACTAGAAGCGTATTAAAACCGCTTTACACCTGGGCTAACCTAAACCTCAAACCCTATTAGGACCTCAAGACTAAAAAGTGGAGGTCAAAGCCTCTTCGGGCTGCTGGCAACCAGGGTTTCGTAAGAGAGGGGCTCCCTGTTCAGGGGGTTTATACGATCTCACAATTCGGAAGAGGCGCCTGACCGTTCAAGGCTAACGTCTAGGGCAAGGCCCCTGAACTTGATTGAAACTTCCGGCTTCTACAGCGCCTGTATGGGCAGGTCCGGAAAAGTCAAGCTTCAAGCTGCTGCAATGCAGTCGATTTCTGCAGAAACTAACTTGGATAGAGAGTTGAATCCGTCGTTCACTAGTCATAACCAGAGTGGAATCGTGGCTGCTGTCCATTGGCATTGCCCGAAAGTGCTTTGGAAGCACTCGGATAGAAATCCCCGAAAGCCCTCCAGTCCTAAGATTCGTTATAGATCTCCCTTTGACACCCCCAAGCCCTGAAACAACCCCGTTTGCACACAACCTAACAAACCCATTCGAAGCTGTATCGGCATGCAGGAAAGCAGCAACACCATTCGGTAACAACCTCCTGCGAGAGTGTTCCTATCCGGGGTCTGTCAAAATATGCTCAAGGTAAGTTATTTCTGGGCCTTAACAAGTAGAACAAGCGCATAGAGATTTGTGCTTAGTTCGGACTTATCACGCTCAACAAGCGGAAGAGGGATTTTGCGGATGGCCGCGTATCACGGACCTGATCTGTTGGTAGATAATGGAGGTGCTGCAACCCTGCTCATAGTTTTGCCTGAACCTGAACGCCCCACGACTGACTGACTATCCCGGCCGTTTCGGAGGGGCCAAGCAGTCCGAAAATCCTCCCAACCCCCAACCCCTAAACCCTAAACCCCCCCAAACCCTAAACCCTCGTCTGCTGCTTGGGAGCTTATGGCTCTCCCTTACCTTCTCGAGGAGATAATGGGTCTTGCCGGTCCTCTGATGTTCAGAAAACCTCACTTAAGGATGCCTTTGAGGGTTTCGGTTTCCATAGGCGTTACGGGAAGGGATCTCTACAGTGCAGGGGTTTGGGGTTTAAGGCTTCAGGGCTTGGGTTTTAAAGCGTCATGGACGCGTAAATCAGGTTCTGAGCAAGGGGGACATGCGCTTCGTGTCCGGCACCGACACGGTTACCCAAGCTTGCTGTCTGATGCTCACTCCGTTTGATAACACAGACAGATAGATAGACAAATAGATGGATAGATGGATAGATAGATAGACAGGACATATCATAGGTTATGAGTGTATTAGGCAAGCCTGAGGAGACTTATGAAACAAATGCTACCACAATATCATCCCCAGCCCAGCTCAAGGTTCGGGCCTGAAGTACAACACCGAAGCGAGCGAGCGCCCCAGCCAAAAGCCATGATACTTAAACTCGAGAGCCCAATAACCCATCAACCTATGAAGCCCCCTGTCAAGTGCGCATCTAGGCTCTTGTTGTTTGCCTCTTGTTGGGAGTCAGAACGCTGCAGGATGGCCTGCGTTGACATGGTTCTTCAGATTAGGGCAAACTTGGGGAGGGGGTCGTTTGAACTCTCCCCAGAATTGGGGTCTGTTTGAAGTTGTGGCTGCTCGCTTTGGATACTTACTGTAGCCCACTTGTTTGGGCTCCGGGTTGAAACAAAGAAGACACAGGGCTGTCCCGAAGGGTTGTGTACACAGTAAGACGTTGGGTTTGCTGGTGCCAGGGCTGGCAGGCTGCATAGCTCCTTGTCCATGGACGCCATGCGTGAATTCACCGGGTCGGCAACATCCGCGTAAACTAAACGGGCATGCAGTATATAAGGCCCCAATCATGTAGGAGTGTTAAGGGAAGTATGTTCACCAGTGATTGCGGGCCCTGGTTTCGAAAGTACGCATGAGCCGGGATCCTATCGACTAATCCAATCCGGCTTTCCGAGATCAAATGCAAGAAGCAGCCAAAGCTGTTGAGGCTTAGGTGAGCATGACATCCGACCCTACCGTTCAAAGGGACCTGCCTGCACGACATCCGACGTAGTGGCCATCACCTGCGGTTGATAAACCAGCTTACTTGATGCTTTAGCCGTTTGAAGAGTTACGGCGACCCATTCTGAAGCAAATCCCAAGTTGACCCATGCTGCTTCCTAGGTCAGACTTCATCGGTGTTCGGAACTTTCTTGCGGCTTAAGCTTCAGGGCCTCATACGTAGGGACCGGACGGCAGGACCCCCCTCTAAAGGTCCGGGATGGGACGAGAGCGGCCCGGACCGCGAACCTCCATCAAGTGGGGTGAGGCAAACATCGGCCCTCTATGAATGTTGCCACGACTTAGGGAAATGGCTGCTCTTTCTGAAAATCGACTAACACCGGGCGTCAGGGCCCAAGGCGCTTTTGCTGCGCAGGCTCCTCCATTCCAGAACGTAGGTGTTGGGGCGGCAAGCTCGGGTCTCGAATTCCGACACCCCGAAGCTCGACCACACCCATAAGCCCTGCACCCCAAGACACGAGACTTGAAAGCCGAAACCCTGCACCCGACACCAAAAACCCTAAGCCTAAACTTCAAATCCCTCAACCTCAACAGGCAACCTCTAAGCACCGAAATCATTCAAACAAACTAAGCCTCCAAACCTCTAAGCTGTTTAGCCTTTGCCATCCAACCTGGGGTGCATCAGCCGTGATGTTGTTCTCATCGACCGACTCGGTCGCTTCACGGACTTCCTCGCCAATCCTTTTAGGACTTTAGGGTTTAAGGCTCCAGGAGTTTATACAGATTAGGGTTTCAAGCTCGCTGTATGCCCAAAAGCTTACTAAAGGTTTTGCGTGGTTTTCTTTGCAAGGCGTTATATGGGTCTGTAGAACTTTTCGGTGGTTTTCAAAGTCCTCGATAGTAGAATCAATCTCGCTGTGTATAGTCAAATACCATCATGATATATGGGCTACATTTAAGGAGCCTTCATAAACATGAAAAACTTACAAGCAGACCGCTATAGGCTCATTAACTTCTGCTACAACTTTAGGGGGTCTACTCAGGGGCCTCGAATAGGGGCTCCACAGAGGAAACCTTTCACTGCTAGCAAATCAAACCTCAGTGCACAGGACGAGCTTCCTGATCGAAACGCAGAAAAAAAAGCAGCCACAAACCAACAATTTAAGGGGGGCCGAACACCAAAAAAACCCTAACCCCTAAGGAGCACCCCAAAGCAGGACATAAGCCCAGCTTCCCGAGGCTTTCTACCGTCTTCTCGCGTTCCCGATGCATCTTCTGCACCTGTGGAGCCCTAACATCGGGACCTTAATGATCAGAAGAAGGCTTCGTTGTACGGTACACTGTATTAGTTACTAACTGGTAAGAGACTTGGGCTTGGAGGTTTATTATTACGATTATAACTTTTACTATTGTTTTTACAATTTTGGCTTTCACTTGTGGGTTTAGGGAAAAACAATCAACCAACATATCCATATATGTATATACATATGCATATATATATATAGAGAGAGAGAGAGAGAGAGGGAGAGAGGGAGAGAGAGAGAGAGAGAGAGATTCCGACAACCACATGAAGCCCTAAGCCGGGATTCTACAGGTCTTTCCGGCTTTAAAAGATGGGTTTCAGGATGGGATTTCATCGACGCCGCTCGAGCTCAGGGCTCTGGGTTTGTAGAGCTTCAGGGCTTAGGGTGTCGGGATACGCCGCTCTTGGCTTCCATCTTTCCTGGCCATGCTTGCAATCATCGTCGTGATTTAAGCCAAACCCTAATCAAAAGATTTGATTCAGGGTTAGAAACCCGTATAGACCAGGGCCTTCAACAAAAAACCAAACAGAAGCTTCGGTGCAAACCACCACCAGCCTTTTCAACCTTTGCCGCCAGCTGCGCCAGCTGCATCTGCGAAGTGGACAGCATATCCTGGCAACTCCAGATTGTGGGTTACACGCGAACGCTATGAACATACATACATACATACATACATACATACATACATACATACATACATACATAACATACATAACATACATAACATACACACACACACATATATATATATATGTATATGTACGTATGTCTGTCTGTCTGTCTGTCTGCCTGTCTGTGCCTGTATGTCTGTATGTCTGTATGTACGCATGCATGTATGTATGTATGTTTTGCCCTACATCTCATATTAGAAAATTAAAAGTATCAAGATATACACGTCGGTTGTATATAGATGATAGAGACATAGATATAGATACACATTGGCATGTGTATCTATGTATATATACAGATACAGAGATAGATATAACTTACAACTATCAGTATAGATATAGATATAGACATTGGTTACAAATATTTGTTATAGATATAGGTGCCAATATAGATACACAGGCAGAGATAGACGTACATAAGTTTGAGAGGCCTTGCTCCACTTCTCAGCCTCAGCGGCCGAGTAGCGGTTTCGACTCCCAGGACTCGCACAAGGCAGGCAAGGCTCCACATAATCCAGAAGATCGCTAGCAATGACTTTGAAAAGATCCCATTCAATACAACCAGAACTCCCATGAGGCCCAAAACTCAAATATTGATGAGACACTGCTCATTCTGCCAGGTTGTTCCGGCACTTGTGTTACGGCTTGGGGCTTAGCTCTTTAAGAGGGTACGTTTATAGAGTACGGCTTACTATATCCGGGATACTTATAGATACCTCCCTGCAACTCCCCTAGGCTCAGGCCGCACCTCCATGTCCACCATCGTGGACCGGAGCGCGGTGTGCTGCAGCTTGAGGCTGGATAGCATCTCCTCTTTCAGGGGGCTCTTTAAACGCTAAACCCCACACACCCTAAACCCAAACGAAGCCGAAAATGAAAACTCTAAGCCCAAAGTCGTAACACCAGGGATAGCAGATCACTGCTCTGTATGAAGCCGCCGGCCCTTCGGAAACTGAGGGTTAGGGGTTTAAGACTTCTAGGGCTTTCCTCAAGGGTGACTATAAAAGGTACTGAAAGGAGTGCTTAGTGGCTACCCCCCCCCCCGGATGCAGGGTTTTGGGGTAGAGTTGAGAGAGTCTCCAGCCGTTTCAAGGCTTCTCGGGCAGGTCCCAGGGGTTCGGGGCCTGAGAACGACTCGGGCCTCCCTCCTAAATTCTGAGGCTTCCCGGCATGCTCTAACTTCTGGGGCCCGGAATCCCCCGAATGCTCCTTCATCCTGTGCCCCCAGCATCTCATCTACATGGTTGGAAGCTTCGCAAAGTCTCGAAAAACCTTCTGGACCTTATAATTATAAGCTCGAAGCCAAGCTATCCCAAGTCTGCGCCACCACCGCCACTGCCCCACCCGAAGAAAAGCAGCCGACTCCCAAAGAGGGGGCCCCTGCCTGGGGTCGCGAGACCGACAATGCCAAAGTCTCGAACTCTTTGAGCAACTCCATCTCCTGCACCGGGGGACCCGGATTTAGGGCTTCGCTTACCCTAAACCCATCCTATAAGGTCCTAAACCCTAACAGCGCAGGGATTTGCTGTTGAGGGATCAAGCTTTCTCGCATCGGATCCCGAGCTTGGGGTCTCCCATGTAGGTTGCTGGCCCTATACCACAACATGTTACGTATGGCGCCTGCAGCCATCTGTCAGGTTGGCATGTTTCTTCCTAGTTTCCCATGGACTTGAACATGCAATGAAGTGTCTGAGGCTGCCATGCTCCTGAAGCAGACCCCAGCACGCCTCCTGGGTGTAGGGCATGTGCTCAAGCTTGATCTCCGTCGTCGCGCTCGGGGTGGTGGCAGCACATACGTTGCCACAGCTGTCCATGGCGCCCTACTGTACACAGTCCCAGCCACCGGCCCAAGCGGCTAAGCAGCGAAGCAGCCCTAACAGCACCAGCAGCCCTGATGACCACTAAGAAAAGACGAGCATGCGAGACAGTAGTCCCGGGTCCTTCATCTTGTCACCCAAACACGCGATCCGCGCAATCACTGATTCCATGTGGAACTACAATTGCTGGTGTCTCTTTCTTTGGCTGGGACTCTTATGGCAAAGTCCTGTGCCACGTCGTGAACTGGGCCAAACTGCACAGGCATAGGCCGCCAAAGCTTCTCTAGACCCATGCGTACAGTGCAGGCGTGCAGTGGCTAGCACCCGAATGCTTCGACGGAGGGGTCTTAAGGAATACGAACCGATGCACCTCCATAGGACCCAACCATCTATGAGGGATGACCTACAAGAAGAGGCAGACTTGCAACTGGCAGACCATCTTCCACAGAGGGCTCGTGTCTTCTGAACCGGCTTGGCAGAAACTCATCATTTGCACAAACGCCCTGAACTGCCCCAAAACCCCACCGGCCAGGTCAGCCACAATAAGGCAGGCGCCTGGACAGCGTTGAGGAGCCAAGATGGCAGATCCTGAGGCAACGGCCTCAGGATCTCGATCCGAAGGCAAGGGGAGCAACATCATGTCGTAGGCCACGCGGCCGCAAAAATAAAACCAATATAACTTCTAGCACCTTCTTTGGCGAAGACTCCAGACCTCACACCCTCATTCAAAATTTCGACGTGCACCACCCGGAACTTGCTCATGGCTTACAGGTTTAGCTCTTGCGTCACAGGCGAAAGTAGAGGAGCCAGATCTCTTCACAGCCGCATTGAAAAAAATTAACTACACTGACACATCACGACGCCTTGAAGTTGAGAGCCCGAGTAAGGAGCTGGTGCTTAGGCGATTCTACTGCGCCGGTCAAAGTCTGCCGAAGGAGCACGCGGAGACGCAAGCCACCAGAGCCACAAATGAAACTAAAGAATCCCATGGTTTTGCAGAGCCCAGCTTCAGATCGTCGGCGATTATCCTGGATCCCAAAACCACTGTAAAACCCGTCGAGACCCTTACGAAATCATGTGAAATGCTGAATCAGAAGCCCCCGCACTGAGGTATTTCCTCAGCTAAGCCATCCTTCAAAACCCCTGCTGGCCCTTTCGAAGCTACCCCGAAAACCCAAGCCCCAAAACCTTCCGCCCGGACCCCAAACCCTGAAACCCCATCTGGAGACTTAGAAAGAAGTCCCCTCATAGCACCCCTTATCGTCTACCTTTTGAGCAGCCACTATAGAACCCTGTCTCAAGCCCTTATCAGCATGATCCTCAGAGTACCCTGAATCCTCGCTCTCTCGGCTCCCCGGCATGACGAAGCGGACGCCGCGCACGAGCGCCGAGTCACCTGCCACTCTGGAGGCTTTGGGCCATTTTGGTCTCTATAATGGGTTTTGGGCTCTTTAAGTAGTTAAGGCACTGTAGAAACTAGAAACCATAACCTTAGCACCAGACACCTGGTTTGGATTTCACTGAGCCGACCCACCGACACGTGCCTCGGCTGCCCTAAAGTCGACAGGAACCCCAAAAGTCTCATAGTAAACCAAAAAACCCTAAACCCTTCAACAGATCGCAGGACCCTTCACCTGTCTGCCCGGCTTGCCGGAGCGTCATTGCCAAAACCTTACTAAGCCTAAACTCTATGCCTTTGTCGAGCCCTACAAGCCCTGAAGCTTTTGGAACCTTTCACCGCGCATGTAGCAACTCTACTTCCTAAACCTTCTAGATCCTCCAACCCTGATATGTACGTACGTAGGTAGTTAGGTAGGCAGGCAGGCAGGCAGGCAGGTAGGTAGGTCTGTGTGTCTGTGCAGTGCGTGCGTCTCTCAGTATACATGCGCATGTGTTTGCTTGTTTGGTTGGTTGTTTACGTTTCTGTTTTTTTGGTTTATGTCTATGTAAGTCTATCTGTATCAGAAACATGCACGCGTGTGCTGCACCTCGAAGCCCTCCTATTCTTAGCCTTCGCTCGCCTTGTGCACCGCTCACGGCCCAGCGGTACTTCTTGATGTCCCGGCACTGGCAGCACAAGAAGGGCTTAAGCTTCTGCTCAGAGTGGGGTCATTGGGGTCGGCCTCGGGTGCACACTGGTCCGGATGCAATGATGCACGAAGTGATAGTAGCACTGAAAAAAAAAAGGTTCCATGGATGTTGGCCTACCTGGACGATCTGAGGATGCTGTCAGGTGGGCCATCACCCCTTCTTTGGTAGCTGCTGTGCGACCACATCCTGCCGCAAAGGAGACTGCTTTAGGTACCGCGATCAAGTAGGCCTGAGGAAGGCCCGCTTGAACTGCCAGGCAAGGCTTACTGTAGATCATGAACAGCAGGGTAGCATCATGTCCGAAATTGTACTACTTACTAGACTGCTATAGCTGTACCTCAAAACTCTGTTGCTCAGGCCACCATATTGCTGTGAAAGCGTTCGGTCACCTGACAGTCTTGGGCGCTGGTTGCTCTGACGAAATCACCTGAGCGACACAGGCTTTTCAGCTGCCCGAAAGTTTCGACAAATCTGTATTTCAGAAAAGCTGAAACACCCCTTCTTAAACCCAGGACCTTCAAGCCAGCTGAGATCCCCTAGACCCTAGGCCCCACCATGTCGCAGGTATCTTTTAATTGGCCCTGGATCTGGTACCGAACACTTTGGATGTTCGGTGACCGTGGCATAGAGGGAAGTTAAAACCAAAAGAACGTTGTGGCCTGGGAGCAGGAACCTTCGAAACGATTTCGGCATACATCCGAAAAAGATTGGGCAAAGTCCTGCGTTGTGGACTTGCTTTGTGGGTACGGGTACTGCGCGAAGACCAGTGAGATCGGGACAGAACAGAAACAGGCTAAGGACGAATTGCTGGGCTGCCAAACAACAACTCCATCAATGGTGGACATATCTGCCTCATGAGTGGTGTTTGGTCATCTGAGGACCAATCCGCTCGAAATCAGCCAGGAATCCTAGCACACAGGATGCAAATCCGATGTTCATCCAAAGCTCCCCTTCCGTTTTCAGCACGGACTGAGGTGCCGGCCAGAGCAAGCACAACCCTCACCCCGTCTTAAGGCAAGAGCCCCCAAATCCAAACCCTTGTACATGGTCCCCTTCCCGCCTTGCGTGACCTCTTCAAGTATCTGCAGTACCAGAAAGGCTCGGCACCTCATCACAGCGAGCCAGGTCCGTTCAGGGTTTAGCTTTGACCCTCCGACTCGGATGAACCCAGGCGAGGTCTGCAGACAAGCGTAGGGGTTTAGAGGCTTTTTCCGACTCGCACACTCGCACGAAGCAGGCACGGATTGCAGCGACAGGTCTCTCCACGTGAAAAGATCAACGCACGGGAGAAGAAATAGGGCATCAAATAGGGAAGACTCAAACGCACAGATCCATGTACAATGTAAACCCTGAACACCAATGCGGAACAGCCAAACTCTTTCTGCCCTTCGGCACACCTAATCGGAGGGCAGCTCCGAGCTGCTTCAAGAAACCACGATGCATCTCTCACTTTCATCGGGTTAGGGGTTTCGACTCACACACTCGCACAAAGCAGGGGCTTAGGGTTTAGGGTTCAGGAGTTTAGGAGATCACAAGAACATCGGGTCCGACTTTCCTTTGTTTTCTTGGTGCTGCTGTGCACCAGGACCCAGTGTTGCGCTGGACCCTCGCTCAGCAGGTCACAGTACATTTCCTGGAAAGCCGCCCAACCCAAACTCCAACAAACAAACAACCGAAAGAGATCGTGTACCTCAGCAGAAGCACCAGGAGGTCAGCCTGATGTGCCTAAGTGACCGCAACTATCTGGTTTCTCTCCGCCCAAAAAACCATTGAATCCTTAACCCTAAACCCTAGGCTGTGTTTGAACTCTATTCCTGCACCACGCACCCGAAGCTTATCCCACTCTCGGCAACCGCGCGCATGGCCCGACGTACATCCGACATCTTGGTGGAGACTTTCGGTCCAGGCTATAGAACCATCGGGTTTCTTGTCGACTCTCCCAACTCGCACATACTACAAGTGTAGAGTTTTTTCCCTCCCACTTAGCTATACTTGGGTTTAGGGTTGGGGGCTTCTGGTATCCATGAAAGCAAGGCTTGTAAGCATTGGAATTTGGAGTACTAGGCTGTGGGGCTGACGCTCACAGTGCATGGACAAGGGTCTACCAGAAAACCCAACGAAACAAAGGAACTCTGGAACACTTCGCAGAACCATGGCCGAAGGACGTGGAGCAGGTTGGAGAAGTGGAGTGCCAAGAGGGACAAGCAAGGCAAAATCAAAAATGCTCCGATCACCCCTGTACTCACGGAAGCAGCACTTCACTCTTGCAGATCTTGCTTGTTGTGCGGGAGCCGGGCTTAATCCTAAGCCCCAAACAAAAGTCTAAATCTTTACCAGCCCCAGTAACTCACGACTCAAGTGACACCCCAGCCCTGACAACCCCAAGAAAAACCCCCAAGAAAAGGGCCTGAAAACTGAGAGTATGGTTGCGATGTATAGTCTAGCACTACTACCTAGGGCATCTAGGGGCGAAAAAGGGGCAACGTATTGCTATCCTTGTCTTACCTCCATATTAAACTTATATATATATATTCATTTTATGTTATTTGAGCGTAAAATCGATATAGGTTTGTACCATATGATGTGAGGTTCATGTTGCTGTGATCCATCTTTACCTTTCTAAATTCTAGTACCAATACTTCTATTACTACTGTTCGTGCTATTGCCACCCAACGCATCCGGTTAGCTTGGCACCCGGCCGACACTTTCTCCAGGGAGCTCTTCAGCAGAGGCGTTGAGGCTGATAGGCATTCGTGGCGGAGTTTAGGTTCTAAGGGGACAAGCTGGGCCGAGTCTTAATTCGGGGGGTTTCGACTCACAGACTCGCACCAGGAAGGCATGGCGTGTTCGGTCTGAGCTTACTGCTGGGACATGACAGCTGCAGGGTGATCTCACCACACAATTCG